GCCCTGCCTGCCTGCGTGCCTGCCTGCGTCCGGGATACTCTCTCTCCACCGGCTACTATCGATCTTTCCCGGAGCACGGCGAGAGAGCGCGCGAGAGAGAAGACGTCTCCTCTCGGTATCCCTGCCGCACGTGCGCACACACGTATACATATATATATATATATAAAGATGTATAGACATGTACACAGACTCACACATGCAACTTTGTCCACATCAGTTGGAAGATAAGTATCCGTGAGCTCTGTGCACACGCGCATATCGCGGCTACCTTACTCACGAAGATGAGATAAACGTCTGTGAGCTTCGCTGCGTATATAGATGTACTGATACCTATTTGAGTAGTATTCATGATCGTAAGGATAAGAATTAGTTGGACTCACGTGTATTAAGAAGAGATATTCAAGTATACAGACGTATACAGACGTATACATACTCGGACCACGTCCGAAGCGGAGATAGTAATACCCCAAGACGGTCGCGGACGGTAGCGCGCGTACGAGACACGCGCGGAGCGGAGCGGAGCGGAACGGAGCGGAGAAGCCGTGGGAGGCTCGGACGCGTAACCAGCCGAGCTCTACTACTCCGCGCCACTCTCCTCGAACACCCGCGTCCGCCTGACCCAAGGGGGAGACTTCAGTAAGCTCGGAGCTTTCAACCGGTCCGTAGCTGTCTGCTATCGACGTCGTTGTCGACCGTCGCGTCGCGACGTGTCCCGGTGCGAGACGTATTTGCGATACACGATAGCGCTGCTGGTGATCGTAGTGCAACGATCATTCCGGACCTGGGACGATCCTCCATTCGGACTATCATTAGGGAAATCCTTCGAAATACGAATCTCCGAAACTGTAAAAACGGAAACAAGAGGTGTCCCGAGCAAGTGGAAGCTGCGAAGCGAGTGCCAGCGAGCTGATCTGAAATGATTATGATATCGAGAGAACAAAGTGATGCACCTTCGAGAAATGGTGCTTTGAAAACGAATAATAATCTATCCGATGATTTGAAGATTTTTCAAAGACTAGTTTATTACTAAACGGTTGCTGGTCTCAACATCTCGCGACGGCATTGACTCTATTACGAGACGATTCTGTCGGCAAAGAAAGGATGAGGATGAGAAAGAGGAGCTCGCGAGGACGCACCGGTCGATGCGGTTTTGAGGGTTTTGAGGGTTTCGAGTTCGCGGTCGCGTGTCAACGGGCTGCGCGTTGATCCTGCCCCGCGCGAGATCAGAGCGAACCTCGGTAAATAACTTGCGGGGAAGGTGTGAGGAGGAAGGGAACAACTTTTCTATTTGAGGCCGACGACGCGACGTGGAGACGGCGATCGAAGCCGCGTGCGGAGGAGGTGATGATCTCGCTTCCGGAAGCGGCTCAAGATCCTCCCATTTAGAGCTCATGTCGATCGCGCGTGATCCTGTCGCTAAATTGTTCCTCCTAAATTGATGTGAGAAAGAAATGAAAGATCAATTAGTACAGGAAATAACGCGATAAAGATGTGTGATTAAAAAAAAAAAACCAAGGTTGAGTTCAACTTTGGGAGAGGCGAAGCTTTCCGTGCTTGATCCGTCAATCTTGCAACGGATAAGGCACGCTACAAGTGATGCAGTCTCGTAGATGATACAGAGACTGGGAAACACGCTGTGACGGATATATCGAACGGCGACGAACTTGAACGTGAAAAAAAAAAAAAAGTTATGCGAGTTACATCGAGATGCGTCTGCGTGATCGCGCGACAATGGTCGGCGCTTTTTGAGCAATCGGTTCCGTCCAGTCGATCGCAATTGAACATTTTCGGAAGTACATCGTGTACGACATATGCCGGGACGAGAACGAAACGCAGTAGATCGAATGTATCCTTGACATGCTTGAATTAAAGAAAGGATATTGACGCGACGAAATGAAGGAGGGCATGTTTACTGAGAGGGAATCGCGGGTGGAATAAAAATAAAAATGCAACTTTTGTATATACTTATTCGTACGTTTCCATAACGCCCACGTTCAAGAAAAAATGATGACAAAACGTCGAGGAACGTTGTGATTTGTTTGAAATGATGTGTGTTCGACGTGGTGACTGTCGACGAAGGACTCGATTGTACGTAAAGGCGAGCGTTCACGTGCGGAAAGAAATCGCGAATGACATTTTGCAGGAGTGATGGCTATTTCGAGCCGGACACGCGGGTGTGCTGCATTTATAAGACATTCCTCGCGAATGGTTTACTGCAGGTGAGCAATGCAGATGGCTATGTTTATGCTGGCATATCTATTCAGGTTTTGTAAGCAAATAAATGACCAAACTTAAGGAAAACTTCTTTAATCGCGAATTCCTAAACGTGTAAATTCCTTGAGCAAGTAATTAAGACGTTCCTTTCTAATTAGACAATCAATACGCAAATTCTATGACTATTTAATATAAATACAAATACATTTACACTTTTTCAAAAATTAAATTAAATCTCTAAAAATTAAAAATTGATGTTAAATCGATAACTCTTTTAAAGACTTGTGCTTTAGATTCGAGTAATTAAAATAAATATAAAAATTAAAAATAAACATGAAAAAGAATTTAAAAAATGGACTTGTAGTCTTGTCTTGACAGTAAATATTTTTATTATTATTTTTTTTTATTATTATATTTTTATTATTATTTGCGAGAACATCATTATACTCCAATAATTTTCAAGATATTAGTTATTAGTTATTAAAGTTATTAAATTATCTTGAATTAAACTTTGGTAACGCAAATAAACGATATATATATAAAATGCAACATATTTTATATTAAATTTTATTTAATTTTATAACCGTACAGATAAAGAAAACATATTCTTATTTTTCAAATTAAAAATAAAAATATAATAAGCTTATAGAATGTGTTCAAGTACTTTAAACATAATGATTTATTTACCAAAAGATGTAATATAATGCGATGGTATCTCGTAATAAAAATAATTGCGATGCTATATTCAGAATAGAAAATTCACAAAAATACTCATTGAATTCGCATCTACTCGTACCGTCGTGATATTCTAATTATCCGTAGTCTCGATTCCAATTTAACGGATAAAATGTCAGAGTTGTATGAGCTAGAGACGCGGCGCGGGGAGGATAATCATCGACAGGAAACATATTAACAAGGGACTTAATGCGAAGCGGTTATTCTCATTGAGAATTGTAGACGACGGCGGCTGGACGGTTTTCTTCATGAATATTGAATTGCGTAATTTCATAATTCAGTGATTAGACATGAATTTCCCCAGTGGGTCGTTGCCTTCGATCCTTCGTAGGGGACGAAGGAGAACAAAAGAGGACGAAAACGCGCAAGAGAAACGACTAACTGAAAAGAAAAGAAAGACCTTGCCATATAACAGTTACACAACCCATAAAATATAAAATTCATTCGTCTTCGATCCTTAACATTCATAGATAACATTTCATACATTTAAATAAGATTGTAAAATGTTAAAGTATATTTAAGTCACAAGATCTTGACAGATTATTCCAAAAGTAATAACTTCATGAATTACGTCATGAATTATATTATTAATTGAAGCGATTAAAATAGAAAATTGAATATTTTACATATTGCCATACACATACATATTTAAAAATCAGTTCAAATTATCAAAGGTATTCGTCTAAATAAAGTAATTTCATTGCTACAACAATAATAATTTCATATCTTTATTGACACATTCAGTGTAATGAGAATTGTTTGTTTAATTTATTTAAATTAATTTAACTAATGTTCCTTTAATAAATTGTGTTTGTAAACTAACAAATTATAAAAAGAAAGCAAAAACGATATTTCAATATTATCAATAGTAATATAGAATAGAGCATAAGAACAATGTAAAAAAAAAATTATTAGAGCAGAGTATTATGAAGAAACTTCAAATCTTTTCAGATTCATATTTCTGAGACTCGCGAAGATGTACGGGAAACGAAGGAGCGACGAGATGTGAAGCTTCCTCTTATTCGCATGATTTTCGTCGCATAAGTGAACGTTCCTATTGCGCTCGATGCACGTTACATTAAGCTCAAGGTGATATGGAAGCAGAAGACGAAGTGGATGATGAGTTGTCGGAGGCCGTCGACACGGAAGTAATTAAACAATTTGCATTAATGCTTTTGTCGTTATAACAGAATGGCTGCAATTTAAACAAATTAAAGACACTTTGTGACTAGAGAACCTGGATATTAACGACTTAAAAATTGTCGAAAAGTTACATATAACAAAAATATAAGACTATACGAATTCTTGAATATCGGTTTTAATACTTTAGAACAAAATAATTATCTAAAACTTTTATCTAATGTTGTTACTTATTCATAATTCTCTTTTATAAAAAATAAAAATTAAAAAGTAAAAAATTATGTTCTATTATATAAATTTTTACTGTAAAGATTCATACATATTTTTCAAAAATACAAAATGTTTTGTAAAAGTTTAGCACGTAAAAATATTGTAGTAATAACACATCCAAATAAAAAAAAATAATGTTTACCAATTGACAAAACGTATGTATTTTAAAAACTGTTCTTTCATAAAAACGTATTATTAAAATCCAGGTCTCCCAGTCAATTAAAAGTCAATCATTATTCAGTTTAGTTTATTTAGTTTAGAATTTTCAATTTACTAGAGTTTCAGTTTACTATACTTCTCTTTTCAATTTCACAAAATAACATCATAGAATCAGAATAGCGAGATAAAAAATAAATTGTGGCAAATAAACAGATAGCTTCGATTTCCGATACCTTTGGTAGGCGAATCATAACAACAACCTCGAAAACTTCGAGACGATGAAGATCTCTACAAAACCGGTGTCCGAGAGGACACCGGAGAAGGATGACTGTCCTTTAGTGCGCTCATCCAATCTCGAGCAATCGGACATTGTCGGCTCCACTAACGACAGTCCCAAAAAGTTGAAAACGTCCGTGCGATCAGAATCAAAAGTACCCCTAAGTACAAGCACAAAGACTGATGTAAAGGAGATTGAGATCGCCAGACTGTATAGAAGCAAGAGAATCAGCTGCCAAGACACTATACACGAGTACGATGAGGACGACAACCTCACTATGGACAGAGTTGGAAGGTAATTGACTCATATCAATTTCGTGTTACTCAATGACAGCATAATGTCGAACTAATTATTTTTAAATTTTTTTGAAGAATTTTAACGAAATGTTAGCGATGTCATACAACAACATATTACATTTTACACAAATTATTTTTATTTTATTTTTTCATAACGTTTAGATATTATTATTATTATTGTTAACCATTATAGAAAATAATAAATCAAAATTTATAAAAACTGTGAAAAATTTGTGTGTGCACAATTGTTAAATTTTTATGACAAAGATATCTGGAGACGCATCCTGCTATGGTCGAAACGTGGCTGCGGGAAAAAGCGAGTCTCCAGCTTCGACAGAGATTGCAGAACACGTGTATGCTGCAAACGATAACACCGAACGTATCGAGCGCGCCCAGTGTGCAGCAGCAGGAAGAGAACCTTCTCAATCGGAACAAACGTAACAGCGTCACATCCGATCTCTTTCAGACTTGGCTGGCCTCGAGTTCACCCGCAAAGCGCAGCAGGAGTCCCAACAGGTAAAAAAAAAAACAATAGATTAACAACAAAATAACTTTATCTCATATCTTTGTTTTATATAATCAAATCGCTCCAAGTCACATTAAATAACACATGACAAATAAAACATGATAAACTAAATAATATATAAATATCATATATAACTCATTTTATATTTTGATAAAATAATAAATATTTAAAAAATCTTTTTGAATTTAACTGAAACTCGCTTAGGTAGCGCAAGTATTAAATCTTCCAGGCCTTACAGCACGCTAATGCTGGATCGCCGCGAGGAGCTCGGTAGACTGGACGAGAGCGATCTGTTTATGGAGCTGATAAGGGACGTGGCAAACGAATTGGACATTAATGTCCTCTGCCACAAGATCCTGGTAAACGTCGGCCTACTCACTTATGCCGATCGTGGCAGCCTGTTCCTGGCAAAAGGACCTTTGGAGGATCGGTACCTGGTAGCGAAACTATTTGACGTCACTCAGGAAACCGAGCTCGAGGAAGCCATCCAACGGGCTAAGAATGAGGAACTCAAAATACCGTTCGGAGTCGGCATCGCCGGTTACGTAGCGCAAACCAAGGAGATTATCAACATCAAAGACGCTTACAAGGTTTCAGTTCACGTTTTTTTTTTCTTAGAATGTTTCGATACATTTCTTTGAATTTTCTGTTTAACCTCATGGCGTTGTAATTATTACGACGCCGTATGCTCGATAAAGAAAAAAATGTGTAATTAACCTTCTGAGTAATTGTATAAGAGCTAATTATAATCGATGACCAGTTTTGTATCTTTGTCGACAAGATTAAAATAGATATTTCACGCTCATCAGGATCCGAGATTCAACAGCGCCATTGATATGCGAACCGGATACAAAACGACGTTGATTCTGTCGATGCCAATTTGCAATTACGAGGGCGATGTCATCGGGGTTGCTCAGATCATCAATAAGACGAACGGCAGCAACGAATTTACAGACAGAGACGTCGAAGTGTTTCAAAGGTGGGAAAATTGTAAAACATATGTTCCAAAAATTGATAGCTTCGCATAACTGTGTATAATAATCAGGTACTGGACGCTTAGATAAACGTTGGAACATAGTTACATTAACTGATTACATAATGGCGCAAGGCCAGTTACAAGACTATGTAATTGCCATGTATGCGCAATTATAATCGGCACCGCGGGCGATCGATACGTTTATTAATACGATCGCACGTCTAATTTTACGACGGCATCGATTATCGCAGATACCTCACATTCTGTGGCATCGGCATACAGAACGCGCAATTGTTCGAGTTGTCCGTGCAGGAATACCGGCGCAATCAGATACTCCTCAATCTGGCGCGGAACATATTCGAGGAACAGAACAATCTCGAGTGTCTCGTCACAAAGATCATGACCGAGGCGAAGGAGTTGCTCAAGTGCGAGAGATGCGCCGTTTACCTGCTGGATTTGGACTGCGGCGAGGCAGTAAGTACTTTCTCTCCATGAACTCAATTTTTCATATACGATATATTACCTACAATAATATTGTATCGGATTGTATAATAAAGTCGCAGAAAATGTAGAGCAATTTTTTTAAACTCTAAAAGTCACAAAACAAATTAGTGTTTTAATTTTAAATATCCCAGTGTTTAATTTTAAATGCTCTACATGGCAATTAAAAACACAATAAAAAATGCAAAGATCTATTTTAGGGACATCTCGAGAAAATCGTCGAGCGGCCCGGGAAGTCGGTGCAAGAAAGCAGAAAGCCGTTGTCGAGAAGAGAGGTGAGTGGCACCGCCACGTGTTACTCGAATTTGTAAGTCTGATGATCTTTTTCTCTTTCCTGGCGGCTCAGAGCAATAACATCGACATGGAGGACATTATTCAACAGCATGTGAGTAATTTCGACTTTATAAATCAAATATATATCTACGTAAATAAACAAGAAGACGAAATTTTTCAGCCCTTCCGACGAAGCAAACGTATATTCCTTCGTCGCTTAACTTCTGTGACGTTAATCAACACCTTTAAATCCTTTTAATAGTTTAAGATTTTATTTGCTTAGGCTCCATCCAAACTATCGAGCCGCGAGCCTGCGTCTACATTCAAAGATCCTATAGATGCTTTAAATTCATCATATTGTCCTTGTTTAACATTAATGTTAAACAAGATGATGAATCCAAAACATCGAAGGCATCCAAGCGACGTTTCCGAACGCAGCCATTATCGAAATGAATGTAGATTCACATCATGTGAATGCACAGGCTCGATGTTCGGTTATATTCTGGATGCACCTAAGGGAGATATCACAGATCTTTTTTATTCTTCAAAGTTTTCATAATCTATTGTTTTCAGGCATCGGCCGAAGGTAGTAAATTTACCATGGTATTCGAGATGGAGAATGAAACACAAGAAGCTCGGGTGTATCGACCAAGTAACAACAATCTATCGAGTTCCCTGGGACAGATAGCAAGATACGTTGCCGTGACGGGTCAAATTCTCAACATTGGCGACGTCGCCACGTGGTTGAAGAAAGACGTAATGGAGAGTGGAAAGGAACCTATCAGAAGTATTCTGTGTATGCCGATCGTCAACGGACAAAGAATTGTCATCGGAGTTGCTCAATTGATCAACAAGGTTTGAATTGATAAAATTTCATTTTTAATTTTTAAGTACAATAATAATCCGTAATAATCCACAATAATCTTGAATAATCTATTAATCTGTTATTGATAGTTTGTATTTGCATTTAGATATATGTATTTTGCATTTAATCCTTAATAATCCGTTAATGATAATCTGCATGTGCTGCATTAAATATCACACAATTTTTATGTTATTGACTTTTTAAACTGTACGTTGCTTGAGAACAGATCGCTGGGTGTCAAGCAATGATATTGTATCATGATAAAATTCATCGATAAAAAAATAGATGTTATTTCTGATATTATACAATAATAAGAGACGTTCCCTTGTTAACAACCACTAGATAAAATTATTAATAGCGACTATTTATTAATTCTTCATTATTCGTGTGAGGAGATATACCTATACTTTAGCCTTAATAAATTCGCTAAATAAATTCGCTAAATGTATGAATGCTATTTAGACTAACAATTTGTTAAACATATTATTTAACAAATTGTTTAAAAAAATTTTGCATTTATCTAAAGGATGTAGAATATTTTATATTTTATTTAATTATAAATCATCAAAGAGAACAATGAAAAGTGAAGTATGATATTGGAATATCAGAATCACCCCACGCGAATAATTACGTTAAAAAAAATTATGCGAGTAATGTAGGATTAGTAATGAACAAAATTCTTTGCAGGACAACGGCACATCTTTTACCGACTCGGACGTGTCAATATTCGAGGCATTTGCTATTTTCTGCGGTCTCGGTATTCATAATACGCAGATGTACGAATCCGCGTGCAAGCTAATGGCGAAGCAGAAGGTGGCTCTCGAGTGTCTGAGTTATCATGCGACCGCCAACAACGAAGACGCTCTACGCCTCGTCTCTGATCCTATACCGTCCGCGGAAACGTACAACCTCTACAGTTTTACATTCATCGACTTTGATCTCACCGACGAAGACACGTGCCGTGCTACCATCAGAATGTTCAAGCAATGTGATCTTATACAGAAATTCCACATACCGTACGACATTCTGTGTAGGTGGATCCTGAGTGTGAAGAAGAATTATAGGTGGATATCCTTTCATTATTTATTTTGTTCCATGCTATTTCTTCACGAAACTTCTAAACACGCAATCTTAACAAATTAAACAAAATTACAATTGGGAATTATTCTTGACAGGCCAGTAAAGTATCATAATTGGCGGCACGCGTTGAATGTCGCGCAAACGATGTTTGCGATGTTGAAGACCGGCAAAATGGAGCAATTTATGACCGATCTGGAAATTCTTGGACTCCTAGTGGCTTGTCTCTGTCACGATCTGGATCATCGTGGCACCAACAATGCGTTTCAGATGAAAACTGAATCTCCACTGGCAATCCTCTACTCAACCAGCACAATGGAACATCATCACTTCGATCAGTGCGTCATGATCCTGAATTCTGATAGCAACAACATCTTCCAGAGTTTATCGATGGAGGACTACAGACGCGTGATGAAGGTCGTGGAGAGTGCTATTCTGTCAACCGACCTAGCGATGTATTTTAAAAAGAGGAATCGTTTCATGGAAGTGATCGACGAGGGCGAGTTTGATTGGCAGAGCGAGGAGAAGAAAGAATGTAATTGCTTGATAATAATCTTTATTCAACAGTCAAATGTTACAAATAATTAATTAATTTTGTCTGTTTTTTTTTGCAGTGCTATGTGGCATGATGATGACAGCATGTGACGTGAGCGCGATAGCAAAGCCTTGGGATGTGCAGCATCGCGTAGCAAAGCTGGTAGCTGATGAATTCTTCGACCAAGGCGATCTAGAGCGCCTTCAGCTTAATCAGCAGCCGGTGGCGATGATGGATCGCGAGAGGAGGGATGAATTACCACAAATGCAAGTCGGCTTCATTGATGTGATCTGCCTGCCACTCTACAAAGTCTTATCGGAAACGTTTCCATGGATACTGCCGCTCTACGAAGGCACCACGGAGAATCGAAAGCACTGGCAGGATTTGGCAGAAAAAGTCGAGATGGGACTGACATGGATCGATCGCGACACGATCGAGGAACCAGTGGAAGAATTTATTTCTTACGAGCCTAAGGACATTGAGTTCACGGTCACGACTTTAAACTGCGCTCATGCTGACAAGAAGGAACAAATGCCGGACAGATCGTCGCTCGGCAGGTTCGCCTCATTGAGAAAGGGTGGACGTACGTTGAGCAAAGGCGTCCGACATCGCATCAGCAGATCTCTTTATGCGAGAAGCAGCTCGGAGGATGCCGGTAAGTCGAAGGCGTTACTCCCGGAAAGAAAAAATCGGAACAAACTGTGCCTGCTCATTTGACGGCTAACTTCAACGACGCTCGAAAGCATCCCTGAATGATGGGTCAACAGATAACGATACTTGGAAATAAATATTTAAATACACATCGCAATTTCCAGAGAGGTCGCGAAAGATAAAACCTTTAATGTTGATACTGCCTGGAAGCTGAAGTTTGACAGATGTGTAGACGCGAGCTATCATTGAAAGAGAGCTTTAGGCCCAATGAACCAAGAAATCGCTCTTAGAGGAACAATATTGTCTGCTTCCATAACTAAGTCAGACTATTCTCGAAGAGTAGAATGATGTCGAATAAATTTGAAGCTCTTTTGAGGCTGTTTTTAGTTGCAGCGAAATACATACAGGAAATGAATCCTTTGAGAGAACTCTTAAAAGAAAAAATATTGATATTTGTAGAAATAATCACTTCTCCTTCTTTCTCTTATGTTAGGCCTCTGGCCTGTGTTACACCTCTCATATGCTTGTATGCGTACGCTGATTATTCAATTGCTACAAGCATATGGGACCTACAGTTTTAATGCCAGTTCCGAATGGCGGGTTTTTCGAGAGGTTTCTGTGGGCAAGATATTGTCAGGAGTTGCCGGCCTTTTCCGAGACGAGACACGAGTAAATTATTTTGGTTCCAGGATCGAACTCGGGACCTTTGGCATGATAGACCAGTGCGCTGTCTATCATGTTACGCTCGCGCTAATTAAATCTCTATATATGATCATTTAATTAAGAATATTTGATCAGATATAAGATCGATCAAAAGAAATAAAAGATAAGAAGACAGAAAAAAATTTGCAATGAGAAGAAATAACAATAAATTTAGTAATTTGTAAAAAGTAAATATTCTTCTGAAAAAAAAACAAGTTTAATTAGATCTGAAAAAACTGACAATATAGACAAAAAAATTATATTCAAGTCAAAGAATAACTTTCAACAAAAAGTAAAATAGATCGAAATGTGATAATTGATCATGTTTCAACAAAAAACTGATTTAATTTTTTTAATCGAAAAATTATGACAGAGATAGAGTATCATGTTCATTATGATATTCTATCATTGTTTATTTTACAATTTAAATAAAATAAAGAGAAATAAAAATCTCAATATTATTTATAACCGAATTAGGCACAAATTCGAATTAATGTATTCAAAGTTTCGACGTCAGACGTGTAAAACTTAGTATGAAAATTATAGAACCAAATAAATGCATATTTACATAACTTCCAGAAAACATTCTTGTAAAGGAAAATACGCTCAAAAAGAATACTCTATTAATTTCGAGTTTTTTCCACTATCTCAATTGCCAGAGTAGAAAACGATGAATCAAAATATCGAAATAATTAACGAAATGGCGAATCTTCATAGGGCAAAGATTACATAGCCCAAGAAAAGAAAGAGGAAAAGTATCAAAGGGAAGTGATCTCGTATACATCACACGTCAGATTCCGAGAAGACTGTTGCCCGTAGATTTTAAGGCGATAATACGTAGACAACGGTATTACGTAAAACACGTATGCTTAGTCGATGGCTAGGTAGCTAGTGAACTTGACGGTCGGTCGTTGCACCTCACAACGACATTGCTCATAATCGTAATCCCGTAGAACACGAGGAAGCGTATGTGTGAATGTGTCGGCGTCGTCGGATGATGATGATAATGATGATGTGGATGATAATTATAATGATGATGATGATGATGATGATGATAATGATGATGATGATGATGATGATGATGATGATGATGATGATGATGATGATGATGATGATGATGATGATGATGATGATGATGATGATGATGATGATGATGATGATGATGATGATGATGATGATGATGATGATGATGATGATGATGATGATGATGATGATGATGATGATGATGATGATGATGATGATGATGATGATGATGATGATGATGATGATGATGATGATGATGATGATGACGATGATGATGATGATGATGATGATGAGGATGAGGATGGTGATGATGATGATGAATTCAATTTTGACAATCTTTTTGTATCACATCTTGACATTCTAGGCTATACAGTTCGGCGTACGAAGGAATCGGTGATGATGACGCTTATGAATTGAAAATGTGCGAATCGAACTCACGGACACGCTGCTCCACGATATGGCAGTTTAAGTTAAAAACAAGCGCAGTTTAAATAATTGTTTTATCATCTTAAATCTTTCTTCAGAGCGATCTCCGCGATAACAGAGAGAGAGAGAGAGAGAGAGAGAGAGAGAGAGAGAGAGAGAGAGAGAGTGAGTGAGTGAGTGAGTGAGAGAGAGAGAGAGAGAGAGAGATGCGCAACAGACATGATTAAAAAGAAATTATTTTACTTTAAAAAAAATCGAATTATTAATTTTAATTAAATCCTTAAAGTTTTTAGTCAAATAAATAAGTTTAAAATGTTTCATAAATTTTATGGATAAAAAAGATATTTAAGCAGATATATTTGAAAAATATTTTTAATCGTGTAAGAAATTAATTTGTATAAAATTTTGAATTTCATGAGAATCATGAGATAAAAGAATCTCATAAGCAAGTAAATTTAATGAGTTTCAAATTGTGTACATAAAGAACTTCAACAAGTTTAAATTTTATAAGTGAAAAATTTTTAAACAGAGCGCATTTCCAATTTCATACGTGAATAAATAAAAATTATGTATTTCCTACAAGATTTTTCTTTTAATTTGAGACTGACTTGAGGAGTCGCGTAAGTCCGGAAGTATTTATCCTTCAATCTCATTACGTATGTATGTAAGATCTTTACGTATATGTAAAGATCGTAGGCACATAGCGAGCGGTGATATATTTATGTTAAATCAATGTCTCACAAACGGAGGCAATGATAGGATTAAATCGTGCATGCAACATACGTAATCTGTGACGCAAGCATGATCGTGAGTCCACCAATTATTTCCGCAGTTCGAGTTTTGTCAAACTATTGACTCTTCGGCAAGTACATAAATTAGTTATAAAAATACATAAATTAGTACATAAATTATGTTACTCGCAAAATTCATTTATATTTCCGTATAAATTCCATCATTATCCGTATGTATTCAGATCAAATGATTTCAAACTGTGAGCAATCAAAGTAATTTAACACTTCTCTTTTTTTTTAATTTTAATTGACGTCAGTCGAATTGCGGTCAGATATTGTGGAACTCAGTTAAATCAGAGTGCCCTCATTAGTTTTCATAAAATTCCCCAAGCGTGTTATGTTTTCCGAGTATGAGTCTGAGAGTTGAACACGCGAGTGAGACTGGTTTCTAGTCTTTTGATATAGCTGCGAATCAATATGCCTATCAGAAATTGTTGCACATGGTTAAATAAAATCTGGATGTGCTCAAACAGTTGCGCAGACGTGTCGAATTATTTGAAATACCCTAAAAATGTGACCGATTGTTTTATTTAGATGTCATCTTAGAATTATTCGAAGTATAAAAAAATCATTACATAATCCTATCTAATCCTCTCCTTTTGGCGGTTCAAATTGTTCTCATAAATAAACAAAAATAAACCGTTTTAATTTAATCTAATTAATATAAATCAGAAAACATATAAATAATAAAAATATATTAAATATATTAAATATGTTAAATATATATTTTAATAATAACATAAATATATTTATATTCTAATATAAATCAGAAAATTTTTACTTACAACAATTCCTGAACATTTCAAAAATATTTGTCAATTATGATCATGAATCATGATTCAAATGCTTAAGTGTAAATAATTTTTATAGTTAATAAAAAAAAAATTTTATAAACACAATTCGAAGAAACTAAAAAAAAATTTAAACACATTAAAAAATATATTAATTCCTTTTAATGCTTTTTTGTAAATTAAGCTTTTTAAAAGCTTCGACCTTTGTTTTATTACATATCAAAATAACTTAAAAATCATAAAGTTGGAACTTTTTCAAGTTTGAATAGAAATCGAATATCAATAAAATTGATAACATTGCAAGAATGTCAGATCTGTCATTTGAGATACAGTAATGATTCATATAAGTTGAGATATTTGATTTAAATTTTAAATATATATTATATTTTTTAATACATAAAGACTTTTTTGTTTAGTTTTAAAATCATGACAATGCATGCACATACCTAATGACGATCGCACTGCATCTTCGCCGCAATTACATCCTTGGTGAGAAAGTAAGTTGAAGTTGAAACTCTTGAAGTTGAAACTCTGAACCCTCTAATTCTTCAGGCGTATGGAAACAGGTCTCGATGCTGAAATTACAATACTGATAATGAGAAATAGCGATTATGTGCGACCCTCTGACGCGTCATGAAAAATATTTGAGTCGGATTTTTCGCGCGCGAGATCAATCTTTAAACTAATATATAACAGCCACTGAATTATGATGTTATGTGATACTATATATCATTGCTTGCATAATGAATTATTGCGACAATAATCAACTAATTATAGAATCAATAACTAATTGTAGAATATGCATCTGTACTTCCTCAAGTAGAACATAAGTCATCATATAGGTAGAGGAAAGATACTGACATGGGTTTCCTAAAGTGACACCCCCTTATTTCTCAGAATCTATTGCACTTTATTAATACTAATAAAATCATGAATTTTTTTAAATTAATTAAAGAAGTACAAACGTATAATTCGTATATTTGTGGCTTGTTTCTATACGAAATCAGCTAAAAATGAATTCTATGAATGCAAAAATAAAATTCTTACGATTTTGTTTTGCAAATTGCGTAATGTAAGTAGTAATGACTATATTGTTAATAATATTATGTCATTTTTAATGCTTGTAGTTTCCTAAATTAGTTTTATTTATATTATTTTCTTTCATAAAGAAGTTTTTTAATACGGTTTTAAATATAAAATCAGGGTGCAGTATAAACCGGCACACTCGGCTGTAAAGCATGAGCAAGCTTAACGTTGCTTTATATTGTTCTCATTTCACTTTATAATTAATATTAAATATTTGATGAATTTTAGTAATTGATAACTTATTAACTATTTACGAAAATAGCAAAACATTAGAGGACTTTTTGACTCAATTAATTTGCTCTATCTCTATGCGAGAGTTTTATCATTATTTATCAAATACCCTGTATATATATATGCATACAAAGTTTGCAATTAAGTACAAAATATAACAATTATGTAAAATTATATATATAAAATTGCATATAAAATTATATATAATATAAAATATATATTGATTAGTTCTTTTTCTGTATTTTTTTATTTATATCATAAATTGTATTTCAAATTACATTCAGTAATAATAAAAGAACTATTTTTAATAATAGTTGCAAATATATTGTGCTGCAACATTTCTACAACATTACAGCGCAATTTTGCTGAAGGCAGACATTTTTATGATGCTATGACATTGCAACAACATTGCAAATACATTGCGCAATCTATTTACAATATTACAATATTGCAATAAGATATATTGTATCTGCAATTATTTTGCAATCTTTCTGTACTGTATGGGAAGTGCTATGTCGGTATTGAGTGACTTTTCTCTAACATCAAAATAACTCCAAAATAATTATTAAAAATTATTTTAATGTTAAATAGAAGCGTAAATGATTAAAAAACGTAACTTGATGTTCTGTTGAGTGATGATTGCGCATTAAGTGGATTCTCGCTCGTAAAGTAAATTGAAAAATCGATCGGCTGAATGATTCAAATGCGACTTTATGACTTCAACATGGCGTATTTCATGATTCGGAACTTATCGATGCGACGTTATGATTCTCGAAGTAACACATCAAAGTGACCACAATAATCAGATCTGATCTTTATATTCTATAAGATGCTTTCAGATTCGTTCTCTACATTTTCTATGTATTTATAACGTACACAACTAAAACGAACTTATACATTCAATGCAGAAATAAAATTCGATGTAACTAATTCGAATTCTATCGAAATATGATATTGCGAGTTTTTTTCTGGTTTTTTCTCGATATGACTTACTGTTTCTCGCCCCAGCCGTCTATCGCTGAGAGGGCGCTAGTACCGTGCCAATACACGATGCCAGTTTCTGCGTTAAATTTCCATATAAACCATCTTGTTTCGATTAAATGCTTCCTTATTTATATGACATTCAGATGGGTATCTGGATTTAGCACAAAGTGAATATTAATAATTGAACCAGCTTTTTATCGATAATGGATAAATTAATGGATAAATTATAGACACTAATTTACAATAAAAAATTGCTTTCAACTTCAAACTAGATTGGATGTTTCTTATAGATTTTTGAATGCTGAAAACGATAGCAACCACGATAGAAATCACAAGTTAAAACATTTTAGTATGTCAGATTTTTAAGATAATTGAGATTTAATGTAAAAAAAATAGCTTTTTTGAAACAATATTTGACTTTTTTTTTTAAAGAATATTAATATTACCTTGAAATTTTGATTAAAAGTCATGGAAGTATTGTTCATCTCCTGTAAAATGTATTTTTTTTTTCAATTTTGATATCTCTTATTTTTAAGTTGTAAAGAATTCAAATACAGGATTTTTCTAAGATAACAAATTTTCCACTTATTATGTTACAAAAAAATGTAATTAAATAACATAAAAAATTCATTTTTTGTATATTAAACTTCAATAATTCATTAATAATGTAAAATAATCCATTCTTTGTACATTAAACTTCAATAATTCAGGAACAATGCGCCAGTAAAATTTAATTTGCAGCATCATTTTCAGTATCCAAAAATCAATAAAAAAAACATCTTATCTAGTTCGAAATAATTTTAAACAAATTTTTTGTAAATTAAAATTATCAACTGCAATTGAAAAGAGCATAAAAACCCAAACAACACAAAGTCCAAGATTGGGACATAAGATCTATAAGAACTAGATCAATTACACAATTAATTATTTTCCTCGCATTCGGCTATAATTGATCAATTTTTTACGGTTTGAGGCTTAAGGCTTTATCTATTGTAGATCCAGATTTAAAAACGTGTGTCTCATGTGTGTCTCGATTTTGGAGATTTTTTTCAATTGCAATCGACAATTTATCTCTCATGATAAAAAATTGATTTCACCTTTAATATTCATCTTGTATATTATTATATTATATATTATATAATATATATTACATAAACTTATAAAAAATTAAATATTATTATTATCGACATTTTGTCCTTCCACTGTATTAAAAAAAAATCAGAATATCTTAAATGAAACGAGGAAGACAGAAGTCGGAAATGTTATCCTGACGGGAATCAAGGGCGGATTATCTAACAGAGGCTATATTTACCCCATTTTTATTAATAAAACATTTAGAAATTACACTCGTACGATGGTGTCCTTTACAGTTACGGATCATCAATCCAATATTGGTCCTACTAAATTAAATTAAGTTAACAAACGGTTCCTCCTTTTTCTTTTTGCTTCCTTCCATCTCCTTATATTTCGTGTCGACAATTATAATCCGCTATATATACATTATATGCAAACATGCGCATACACGAGTACGTACATGCAGTCAGAGTCCTATGCACGTGATATTACGACGTTCCAAAGAATTAATTGGCGGGAAACTTCCCGAGAGACTTCCTTTCGCAACTTCTCGTTTGTTTTCTCCCTTCCTTTCTTTCGATCTCATCTTTCTTTCGCTCGATCTCGGAGATCTTTCTCCGTACATCTTCTTCAAGCACTCATATGCGCTAGGAAATCATATGCCGAGGCAGTGACACGCTTATTTGGCAAGATCCTTTCAGCAAACATCGCATTACAACGTCGAACAGGCTCCGTGGGCATTGTGATCAAGAACAAGAGATCGTTCGCCGTTGTGTCTGCAGCAAATGCGCGTAAATCGAGGATTTTAGTCGATGAAGAACTTCGATCCAAATTCTCGATACTATGGACAGTGAGATTTTTACGCGTATTTATTCATACAGCAAAGATCTCCGAAGGATATCTTAAAAATGTTTAGATGTTCCTTTTACAAAAATCTCTCCAATTTATTACTAAAAGAGAGTAATTAATTATTTATTTTGAGTACTAAAAGTAACGAGCAATAATGCTTTTAATACTTAAAATAATTAATTATTATCTTTCAGTATTGGCCAATATGTACTTTATAGATTTCTATAAAATACAGTTTAAGGATCCTCCCAAAATATCCATCGTATAAAATGTGCTGTATGAATGTGTACATCGTACCGTTCTCTACGTGAAACGTCATGTTATGTTGGAATCGAAGTTATCGTCGTGTCAAAAAAAGACTTCGTGGCGTTGCGTCTTGCGTGCTACTTTAGGCTCCCAAAACGCGTAAGAAAAAGTAAAAATAAATGTGGTGTTGTATCGTTGTATCGTTTGAGATTATTAGTATTTACAACTAATTAGTGGGAACGGAATATGAAAAGCGTCGCATTGGGTGACCAGTTTCGACTAAGAGAACGGACTAAAATGTACAAAATTTTTTCGCATTACATCTCGAACGATTTTTGTCTTGATCACAATGCTAATCAATTTGTAATTTATTTTTTTATAGATTACCGCTTTTTACACAATTTCTTTCTTTTTTTTTTAGCCAATCCTCGGGTTTCTTTGTCTCGGCGCGACAAATGTTTGTGTTAGTAATTCCAATCAAATCTATCATCTTTGCTGTCGAGAGATACGCACGACGAACTAACATCCCATTCAATGTACATACGTATATGAGAAAGCTTTATGCTTTATACGCGCGGATACATAAACGCAATGGAAGATACATTGCGGAAGATGAGAAGAACTCGGAGATTCGTTCGTCAGCACTTCGTAGAGAACAAGACTCGCCCGTAATCGAGGTTCTCAGTTCGGCGGAACTTGAACGAAATACGTGCTATAAACGCTAACATCGAATGCCATCTTGCTAAGTAATTCACGCTGACACGCATCTCATTCACGTCTCATTAATTAAATGCAGGTGATACGATAAAGTCATAAATGAACAGTAAAAAAATATGTAGACCCCGTTGTATATATATATATGACAAATCAAAGTAGCGGTTCATGGCGTCGTTCAATAACATTTACAAAGACGAAATTCCACTTTCCTACCGTACCCTAATTCGCCACATATACTTCATATACTTTCGTATGTTATATGTTCTGTGTACGCACATAGAAAATTGAACCTATAGAAGTGCCACGGCTTTGTTACCCATCCACACGCTTGGATACACGCTCTCCCTCGAGAACACAGCAGCTGCCATTTAGGATTGAGACATCACGAATGCGAATGAACACGAGACTCTCTTGCCACAATTAGACCGACCTTGTATAATCTTGCTTTGTTAATTACATTGATAAATCTGACAGTGCGAAATTTCTACAAATCACACACATTTCCGCATCCCTATTTCTCTAGGTTTTTACACATGTATTACAGATCTGATTACCAAATCAATCTTTGTTTTTCAGAACCAAGTACGAGGCACAGCCCGACGACAAGAGAGCTTTGACTCATTACACGCGTGTTCGGCAAGATTAATCGTGCAAGGTGCACCTGAGCAATTTGCGGCCTACAAGATATCGTTGACGGAAAATTTCTTCTTTCAAGCCTTGCAGAATTTCGGCACCTTGTGAAAAGGATTCAAACTAACCGGTATGCCCCATAATTGTGTCGACAGGCATTCACGAGCGCGTGCATGTCTGTGATTCTGGCAACATAATGTCCAGAGTATTGCACGGGGGGTCACATGAAGAACTCCCTGGATCGGCTAATATGCAGTCACGACGCAGGTCTATCCAATACCGAGATCTCTATTAGCCTGAGCCCGCGTGTTGTTGGATCTGTTAGCAGGAGGCCACGTGGCTTGTACACTCGATCGTTTTGCTCGCTGACAAACTTGGCGACCTTGCGCAGACACTTTTCATAGTGTGTTTCGGTACATATGCTTATCAGATAACCTGTGAGACAATATAGGCAGCTCTCGCAGTATGTAGAACAACTGGCACGTTCTGCCTCAGCGAAGTAGTTGTTCAACTGATTGATCGTATACTCGAACAATTGTCTGTCTAACTAAAGAAGAGATATTTTCTAATAAATATTTTTCGATCTTTTTTTTATTTTCAGAAAATATATTAGCTTTGCGATATATATGTGTGTGTATATATATATATATATATATATATATATTAAAAATGATTAACTGCAATACTTACTCTACTTTCCAATTCTGTAGGAAACCGTGTTTGGAACTTGACCATAGTACCTTCACTGTAATCGCGCTGTATAAAAACTTTCTCACAGTTCTGAGGAGGCCCTCCACCTGCCTGCCCTCGTCCCGCGGACATGTCTTCCAGCGGTGTGAGGGCAGCATGATTACCCTAAAAAAAATACAACATTGCCACATTTATTACAAATTATTAAGTCTATTTTTTGTAATACCAATGTACAGACTATAACCTTATCTTTCAAATATAATAATATAATAAATTTTCATATATGTTAATAAAGAGCAAATATTTATTATGGATATTAATATCAGATTCTTGTACAATAACGTACTTTTCTCTCGTAAATAATCTCTTCAGGCAGTACACATAATGTTTTCTTCGAGCTCTGGCTCTATAAAATAAAATGTAACGTCGCATAACTATCTTTGAATTTCTTGGAAAGACTGCTATTTTCATCTGCTTCTTTTTACAAATATTAGAACATATACTTAATACATTCTCACACTCTCAACATCAATAAGCATTGCATATCATCCTAATATTGGAAACATTTGGTTGACATTAGCGTTAACTTGTAATATATAGACATACATTTCTGTCATTACTAATCCTCTCAGATTACATTCCGGACAAATTCTCTAAACTCTGCTACGCATAAAATGAAGCTTAACGCTGATGTTTCAACTCTTTGTCTCTCGAAAACTCCCTTTCATCCTCGCATCACTCTTTGAACTTGGAGTTAACCACAAAAACCGCACCCAGCTCCTACCTCGGAAATCGTAAGGACGGGCAGTCGCATCCTCGCTCCGTTTTGTAGCTACAATCGTTCCTCGATCAAGAATCGTGACGCAGGAAATTGATTTTCAAGGAACAGATCGCAAGAGGGACAGCCAAGCGAAACACTTTTCACGAATGAGGGAATGACAGCCAGATGAGCCAGAAAGAGGCGCTTGTGAGTGAGAAAGATGCAAAGAGAAAAAGAGAGAAAGAACGCATGGAGGATGGACTCACCAGTGGCATTTTGAGCTTCGTCTTGCCGGTTGGTTGCCGTACGTTCCCGACGAAAGCCGAGCTCGACCGTTGCTGTCGTGCTCGCGATTGCCGTGATTTCTTCGATGCGAATCGACGCGACGAGGACTCAGGCTCGAAAAATCGGCCAAGGGATCGCTGTCGTCTGCACGCACACGAACAGACTCCACGACTCCGCAACTCGCGGCCGCCATGAACGGTGCGCGCGCATGCGAAATGCGATATTCTCTCTTTTCCCGCCCCGCTCTTCATCGCACATTTCATTCCGTTTCCATTTCTTTTCACGGATCATTTTCACGTGAGATGTTTACAGTGTTTATATGTGTAGATTTCGAGTTGTGAGAGAGGAAGATTAGAAAACGTTGAAGGTACGGAATTAAATTAACCACGGAATAACTTTTGTCCCGAAATTCATTTTTTTGCGTTGTGATTTTTTGCGCGTTTTCTAATTTTGAAACACCGAAAATTAAATGTTTTACTTTCGGCATGGGTGACCAGGGTATCAATCATGAAACTTTTTTCCTAGAATGAAAAATGAAAAGTGAAAAATTTTTCCATTAATTTCAATGATTAAAATTTTCACTTTTTACTTTCCGTCCTAGGGATAAAGTTTCATGATTGATACCCAGCAGCGGGATTCTCTAAACGTCTTATCGATAATGCCAGAACAATGGAAGAAAGCGCGGTTCTCATTGGCTGTCGCTAGTTAACGATAGCAACAATTATCGGTAAAACATTTAGGGTTAGTTTTACCAACGCCAATTACTTTATCCGCCGATTAACTTTGAGCATTGCCAACTGCTAAACTGAAAACTCATCTTTAATCTAATTTCGAAAGTATGTATTTGTAAAAAATAGCCAAATATATTTATATTTCAATGTTTAGTATCTTCACAACACTTTTTCTTTACTATTACCAGAGAGAAACCTGAGAGAGGATATGACAGCCCAAAACCTGTAACCGCAAAATGTTGCCGCGCACTACTGCCCTCTGAAATGGATGTGAACTACAATACATAGCAACGTCCACTTTTTTTAGGGTACATCGTCCATTTTTCGATTGATATTTGATTCGTATAATCGTGCTATATGTAGCGATAAATCATCACTTTAATCATCTTTAAAAGTTTTTTCTGTTGAACATTTAATATTTAGTAATAAATTATATAGTAACAGTATAGTAACGGTATAGTAACAGTATAGTATATAGTAATAGTATAGTAACAAATATAGTATTGGTAAATTATAGCAACATATTGTGTAGCACATATTAACGAGATGATTGAGGGTAACAATAATAGCGAAATAAACGCAAAGTTTTTCAGCTTTATTGAAAATTCTTCTAGAATATTTCTCAGTCAATTTTAAATACTTTACTCATTCGAATACAATCGAGTTATTTTGAAAATAGAAAATAGAAATAAAGCAATAGTGAGTGAATTCGAAATTATATGTAATCATCCAAAGAAATAGCTGAAAAAATTATAAAAATATAAAAAGAGGAGGTGAGATTAAAATAAAAAAATTTTTTTAATTAAATGTATTATTGAAATACAATTTATTGACATTAATATTAGAGCATAACAAAACATACAGAAATGGTGAATAGTTAATTGAAAAAATTGAGTAACATTATTCACTGAATGACTTAAACGCAGCAAAGTAAGACATGGCAATTCGTACTTACTTTGCGCATTTTACTTACCGCAGCATAGGTCGCGATGGATAACGGAATCATATTACCTGCCTTCAATCCACATGGAATATTACTTCTGTAAAGAGTCATCATCAGCAAAGATTTTAATCGAGGCGAAAATTTGTACCATTCTGCAGCATATCTGTAAGCATAATCATCTTTAACTAAATTTTTGAAAAAAAAAATTTTTTTTAATATATTTAACAAAAGTTAAAATAATTAACTTATGTAATACTTTATATTTCTGTTATATTTTTACATTGTTAAGCGAAAATTAACGAAGAAATTGTTCCAGGTTCAGTTTCTAATGTGGAGTCTGCAATAGAAGTCGTAGTGGTCGGAGAGTTTTAAGTCGTAGAAGATGATCAATTATAATCGATTCTTCTTATATTTGATTGTAATTGGTTAATTTTCTTTAAGATTCTATGACTACTTCTATTGTAGACCCGCGTTTTAAAATCAAATCGACACAGTTTGCTTGAATTGAAATGATAAAAATTCACACAAAAAATTATTAATCCTCAAATTCCACACTTCGCATCCATAACTTCCACATTAGTGCGAATTTGACTATTGTGTCCTTTAACATTAATTTTGTTATGAAAATGTATATAATTTACTTTATTTTACTTTATATTTACTTTATTATTACATTCTCTCCTCCCCCTCTCTCTCTCTCTCTCTCTCTCGTTCCCTCCCTCCCACCCCCCTCTCAAACAAATTTGTCATAGTGGAGAAAGATCGACGTACATTAACTCGCCAAGAGATAACACTAGTTTGAAATTTTTGCTGGTGCTAATTCGCTTCGGTGTGGAATTTGAGACTTAAACCAAGATCGGCCTTCACTAAATATCATTTGTTTTTACTTATTTATATATTTTTTAAATTATGTTTTATGTAAAGTATTTTAAATTAAAATTGAATAAATTTACATTTAATAGATCTTTCGAATGTGTTTGGAGCACTATATTATTATTTTCGTTCGAAATTTATTCTTACAATTATTAAAGTATATATTAAAGTATAAAATAAATATTACGCTCGATAAAATATGTCCTGACTTTCATCCATTAATCTTTGACCAGAATAACATATAATCATCAAGTCAATTAACATTGCGGTAAACATAAATGTGAATTTTATCAGTTGTTGCATTTGATTTAATACATAAAGAATCTGTAACAAATTAGAATTATTACATAATTATCTGAATAATAATTATATTTCTATTTAGAAAAACTTTTTTAATTTTGTGATATGTATCAGTAAGATTTAATATTGATGTAAATTATAATTGTTCGTCCTTAATCAATATTGCAGAATTTTTATATTTTTTAAATTTAAAATTATATATTTCTTTTATATAAACTCGATTTTATGTTTTTATATATTATGAAGTTCATAATAGATGATCAGTTTCATCATAAATATTAGAATGTGAACAAGAAGTTATATGCAGGAATAGTAAATATTAACTCGGTCTCAATAAATAAAGAAGAAAAAGTCCGACTATATTAAGTTCCTTCAATGAGTTTTTGAGTAGCGTGAAGGTTTGAGAAATTCGCGCGACTCAATATTGAAACGAAAGTTTATTTGGTTTAAAATAATACGAGAAAATTCCATAGATTTGGAACAATTCAGCTCCTCAAACAAAATACATTCGCCCAAAGAGCAACACGCTTAATCAAGATGCGAGATGCGATTAAGCGCGTATCGCTACATTCCTCTCCTAAGATGGAACTTTTTGAGATGGTAAAGACACTTTTTAATTCAGACGAGGTTGCTTTAAGAGATATTCGGAGCATCGGACAGTTTGGAATTAGTCAAGTCACTAATCACAATTGTAATTTCACTCGAAGTAGGAGATAAATCTGCAGTCTCGCCTGAAGAAGAGAACACACTGGCAGCAAGAACATATGCGCTAGCAAAATTCTTGGAATTCTCGAGCAGTTTTGAGGAAGAATAGTCCAACATAAAAAAATAGTCTTCGACGTTAAACCTATAACCAGTGGTTATCTAGTGAAGAAAGCGTTCGATTTCAAATTTGATTATGTCGGATGAAGACTCTTCTTCAAAGCTGACTTGAACCATGGTGAAGTCAATGAACTTGTCAATTGTTTCTGGAATAGGTTTTTCATTAAACAACTTAATAATAACCGGTTGCTGTGCAACAAAAATGTGACCTAACGCCATGTTGAAAATCAAATTACTGCTTCATTTCCTCTGTCGTCAAGAGGAATTACTAAGAAAAAAATCACGGAAGTAAAAGGTTCGAACGGAATTCTGAACTTGCGTTCGAAAAAAATTTCCGCAGGAGATTTCTGTTCTGGAGCTGCATCACAAGATGTGTAATTATACGAATAAAGGAAACGATTCATTTCGTCTTCCAAAAATGGAAAATTCAGATCAATTGAATGCTTAATGATGCCAATCATACTTTCCGCTTGATTATTGATGCTCGGGTGGGCTCCTCAGATGTAAAATATTGAAATGGGAGCACAATTGCGCAAAATCTTTCGAAATAAATTGAATTTCATTATTCCGAAACAAATCAATTATTCAAAACTTTTGGTAACTCATAAAAAAATCTTTTAAAATAACTGCAGATTGCAGATGTGAAAAATTACATCAACAAACTTCGACAAACTGTCAACTATTATTAAAATCCATTGTTTTTGGTTCAGCAAAGTCAATGAATTCGCGCTGAGGATTTGTTAGAGATTAATTAAGGATGAAGAGATTCTTCATGAGGAGCTGCCGCAGACTGAATACAATGATTGCAGTTCTTGATAAGTCTTTCAATATCATTGTGCAGGTCAATAGAAATAACGACGAGCAAATTGTATTATACATCGTATACCAAAATGAGCTAAATGCAAAGTTTCCAAAACGACTGGATATATTGCTCGAGATAGAACGATTCTGTTATCTGAAACCATCACTCCATTTAAAACTGTTAAAAGTTCTCGACGGCGATAGAAAGACAGCAATTTCTCCTCTAAATCTGAAAACTTCAATCAGTTTGTAAATGGTCCACAACTTGTGCAAAACCATCTTTAAGGAAGTTTGACTAGTTATTTTTTTAGTAAAAAATGAAATATTGCATACACACACACACACTAATAATTTGCTAAATATATAGTACATAAATAATATCCATAATTCATTACATTAAAATTGTATACGATACGGAATCGCTGTAATGACAATTTATTTCAGTTGTATTGTTTATTCCAAAGCAAAGTCTTTAATCGATCAATTCGGAATGCACATCAATTATGAGTTTAATTGTTTTGTATGATTGCGTATTTATAATCCATTATTAGTAAATCCCTATTTGCAATTCTGCAATTCCTCTAAAATATTTCTTCGGGATATTTTATAGAAATAATTTCTATAATACTTACTCGGACTCCGATTAGACTTATATTTCCAAGAATTAATAGTAATAAAAGCAATGAAAGTCCTTGAAATGATGATTCCAATATATTCACAAATCTAGATTAAAAATTTATAAGTTACGTTAATCCATCGAGGCTCAGCGGAAAAAGAAAGAAGGAGATATTTTATTTATATAAAAACAACTAAGATGTAGTATAAAACTTGCTTACTCTAAAGCAAGCTGATGTTTCTTTAAACATGTTATATATTCCCGGTATATTATTCTCTCATTAAATGGATTAAGTTCCATATTTACATGATATCCACATTTGCTGACTTTATTGTTATTATAAGCTTTGGAAATTATATTTTCAATTTGTTTACTGTAAAAATGATGTCTCACAAAAAGTTAAATAAAATATATGTATAATATGTGTAAAATGAAACATATACGTCATAAAATATATGAACGGAGTATACAAAACTAACGGAATATACAAAACTTCTACAATACTTATAACAATATTATTTACCATATTTAATTGATCTACCTGACAGCGGCAAATAAACTGCATGCATGAGCGGTGCAGGCAAAGTGCATTGTATCAACACCAATTGAAATGTTTAAACCTATTATAACTACAATGGTAGTGTAACAAAACATTATTAAAAAGTAATCATTTTTATTCACTCTGAATTCGACTTCGATCGCAAAAACTCGCGGACGTGATTCATTAAGAGGTAGCATTGTGTCTAACAATACTGGTATTAATGGTATTGACACAAATATTAACACTGTGAAAAACAATAGCACTGCAACATTTCGAAAGAATTACAATAATATTAATTTTGTTTTTTTTTACAATAATATTAATCAGAAGTATTTCAGAGCAACATCATTATTCTTTTTAAAAAATTTGTTATTATGCAACAAAAATGTTATTTAACGCTATTTTTTTATAATTCAACTTTATAACGTAGCAATCATATCATTATACTTGTCATACTCATCATACATGTCATATCATTATATTTATAATCTCGATTGTTTTAGATTATAAAAATTTCAGTTTATTTTGTTTATACGACATAATTACTCTACATAACGTACTTACTCGAGAAAACTATTGTGAACCTTCGTGATAGCATAACGTAATCTTTCATGATTCGAACTTCCACATCATTTGTAAATATGTCCCAGTGTTTATCAATGGCTATACACAACTGTTGCAACTGTTTATAATAAATGGACATGATTTTTACATATTATATGTAAAATAATTTTTTAACAAGAGACTAACGAAAAAAAATAATGACAATATAAATGAAATAAAAAAGATCTGTGAATTTACTTTATCCTGATTCCAAATATTATGCAATACCCTTGCGATAAAAGCAGTCGTGAAAATAAATTGATAGCAGGCATCGAAAACCATTTGTGGATCACCCCAATGATCATACAGCAGTAGTATCTGCATATGTTTAATTATGATTCGTAAATACATTACAGGTATAGTTATAAAATCAATTGTATAAAATCGTTTTATTTATTTAATTAATCGTTAATTGTTAATCATGTACATTATACTACTATATTATAAATTATATCTTGTGATAATAAGTGTGTGCACAGCAATATTACTATAAATCTGTTTTACAATAATAATAATATTTTGATAGACGGATTGTTATAAATATTAATAGGATTTATTTTTATCAAATCGATTATATATCGACCGATACGCATTACCTCAAACGGATAGTAACTTATTTCCATTAGCAAGCAGATAGTCCGTAATGAATTTCTTACATTTTTACTTTGAAACAGCCAGAGACCTGAGATCGATAAAAATACTCGGTTTACGTTGTACTCTCGCAGAAAATTCGCTAGCATGACTAATACTCGCTCTCCGGTGTACTAAAACGTAATGATATAAAACGTACGCTATCAACTGACTGGTGAACAATACAAGTTGCAGGACAAGAATATAATATCGTGCGATGTCAGTAATTGTTACTGTAGCTTGTTTCTTCGATGAAATTCGATTGAAACATATCTACTTGCCGATACTAAACTATCACTTCCGTTATCTTCAAAAGTATTCTGTTAAACAGTCTATCAAGTTTTACATGTTATAATAACATAAGTATAGTAAAGAGATATTATAGCATAACGAACTCAGAATGACAGGATGATTGAGGGTAACAATAATAGCAATGTAGGCATATGTAGGCATATGTTGCTTTCTTATACTGAGAACTACTAGAATGTTATTCAATCGATTTAATTGACTGTGAGTAGAGCCAAGTATATATATATATTTGAAAATATAAAATAATAAAATATAACAAAATCGAGTAAATTCTCAATTTGAACACAATTTAAAGTAATATATAAAATTATAAGAAAATATGAAAAAGTAAGAATTAAATAATAAAAAGTAAATTCAAGAATTATTAAAGCTAAATGTATCATCGAAATACAATTTATTGACATTTTATACATAATCACAGTTTATCAAACATTTAAAATGTATCGATAAAGAAGTAATTAAAACTTTAATAATCACTTTTTGAATGATATAACGTAGTAAAATAAGTGTTACGTCCAAACTTCGAACGTATAAGTGGATCGATGTAAAGAAAAGGAATAAAAGGATGAAATATGGAAGAAGATTAGAGCAGACGTTTTGTCTTTCGCAAGCATTCGCGTGGAAGGGAATGGAGTAATATGTGTATATGTGCAAACAGAGAGGCGATAAGAAAATTAATTCAGTTCATGCATTATAACAGGGGAAGGGGGGGAAGAGGTCATGAAAAAAAATCGACCGGGACTAAATGGGAAGGAGAAGAGAGGGAGATGTTTTTTCTATCGATACCGTTGATTTTGAAAACATTATTTGAATATTTAATAAGAAATTGTTTGAATTATTTGCTCTCTTTAATGAGTTATTTTAATTTCGGAGAAAAATAAAATAATAATAATAATAAAAGATTTATAATTTTGTGCTTGGAATGTTTATATCAGGTGTCGGGAACAAAAAAGATAGTGATGTTTACCCGACTGCAAATATTGCGCACAGACTAACAATGTAAACGCGAATTTGAAATTTTATCGTTCTTGATCTTGTTCTTCATTCTTTGCTCTCTTGTTTTCTCCGCTCTCTCGTTCTCCGCTTGTGTCTCGCGATGTCGCGGTTTATATAGGCAATTTTTTTGGAGATGGTTTTTTGATAGGATGTGTCTAGTTGGGAAATCGAGGAATCAGGTTGGTGAGATTTTCTTCCCAGTCTTTGAAAAGTTAAGTTGGCTCCGCCCGCGGTATAAATTTAATTCGCTTTTATTCTTACTGGTGAAAATATATCCTTCCTAGAAGATTTCAAGTTCACAGTCGCCCATTGGTGAGTTTTGTTACAAGGGGAGAACGGGTTCTGAATTGCCGATTTTTCTTATCAGCGTTTGCTTAAGTCTTAGTTACAAGTGGGAAAGAATCGTCTGTGTGTAATGTTTTATATCAAACTGCTCTCGCATTGATTGCTGAGCAAATATTCTGGGATTTAGTTAATCGTGCTCCTTGGGAAGTAAGAAGCGTGAGTCACAATTTTATTGATTTTCCCAATATTGAAAGATGAGCATGAAACAAAACCTTCCTTTTGGGATAATAGAAGTTCAATTTGTTTCTGTGATTCGGATAGCTGACGAAGAATAAGCTGTTATTCCTGAGCCAACTGTTGTTTGAGCCAAAGAGGTTTAAAATTGCTCCATCAATATCTCAAAACGCTACTGAAGTAGGTTCGAATTTGCCACAGCGTCAATTTGTAGTTTCATTAAATTCTTGAGTAGCGCGAAGATTTGAAAAACTCGCTCGACTCAATATTGGATGAAATGAAATTTTATTTGATTTACAGAGTAATACAAGAAAGATTCATAAAGATTCGAAATCTTCGATCCAATTCTTCAAATAAAATATATTCGCCCAACGAACAATAGATGTACGCGTTTAATCGATCAATGCGATTAAGCTCGTATCACAACAATTATGAATTTGATTGTTTTAAATGATTGCGTATTTATAATCCGTAAATATTTGTAATCCGTATTAGTAAATCTATTTGTAATTCTGCAACTCCTTTAAAATATCTCTTCAAGAAATATCTTTTCGAGATATTTTATAGAAATAATATCTATAATACTTACTCGGAGTCCGATTAGACTTATATTTCCAATCATTAATAGTAATAAAAGTAATGAAAGTCCTTGAAATGATGATTCCAATATATTAACAAATCTAGATTAAAATTTATAAGTCACATTAATAATCTATTGAGGTTTAGGGGAGGAAAAAAGAAGAAGACATTTTATTTATAGAAAAACAATTACGAGTAACGAGTTGTAGTAATAAAACGTGCTTACTCTAAAGCAAGCTGATATTTCTTTAAACATATTATATATTCCCGGTATATTATTTCCTCATTAAATGAATTAAGTTCCATATTCACACGATATCCACATTTGCTGACTTTATTATTATTATAGGCTTTGGAAATTATATTCTCAATTTGTTTACTGTAAAAATTATGTCTCGCAAAAGTTAAATAAAATATATGTATAATGTGTGTATGAAAAATGAAACATATACGTCATAAAATGTATGAACGGAATATGTATACAAATCTAAGGTTATACAATAATTATAACAATATTATTTACCATATTTAATTAATCTACCTGACAGCGGCAAATAAACTGCATGCATGAGCGGTGCAGGCTATGTGCATTGTATCAACACCAATTGAAATGTTTAAACCTATTATAACTACAACGGTAGTGTAACAAAACATTATTAAAAAGTAATCATCTTTATTCACTCTGAATTCGACTTCGACCGCAAAGATTCGCGGACGTGATTCATTAAGAGGTAGTACTGTGTCTAACAATACTGGTATTAATGGTATTGTCACGAATATTAACACTGTGAAGAACAATAGCGCTGCAACATTTCAAAAGAATAATATGTCTTTGTTCACAATAATATCTGAAGTATTGTATAACATCATTATTCTTTTTTTAAAATCTATTATTATATAAGTTTTATAAAGATCTATTATTATATAAATATATTTTTTAATAATCTGTTATATAAAATTTATTATTATATAAAAAATATTATTTAACGCCATTTGTTCATTATTTAATTTTATAACGTAGCAAGTGTCATGTCACTATACTTATAGTCTTGATTCATTTTAGATCATAAAATTTAATTTATTTTGTTTATACGACATAATTAATCTACATAACATACTTACTCGAGAAAACTGTTGTAAACCTTCGTGACAGCATAGCATAATGTTTCATGATTTGAACTTCCACATCACTTGTAAATATGTCCCAGTGTTTATCAATGGCTATACACAACTGTTGCAACTGTTTATATAATAAATGGACACGATTTTTACAAACATATTGTATGTAAAATAATTTTCTGACAAAAGATTAACGAAACGAAATAAAGATAATATAATTAAAATAAAAATAGGTAATGAAAGATCTATGAATTTACTCTGTCCTGATTCCAAATATTATGCAATACCCTTGCGGTAAAAGCAGTCGTGAAAATAAATTGATAACAGGCATCTACAACCATTTGTGGATCACCCCAATGATCATACAATAGTAGTATCTGCATATGTTTGATTATGATTCATAAATGCATTACAAGTATATAGTTATAAGATCAATTGTATAAAATCATTTTATTTATTTAATTAATCGTTAATTGTTAATCATGTACATTATACTACTATATTATAAATTACATCTTGTGATAATAAGTTTGTGCACAGCAATATTACTATAAATCTGTTTTACAATAATAATAATATTTTGATAGACGAATTGTTATAAATATTAATAGGATTTATTTTTATCAAAATATATTTATTATATATTTATTCAAATCGATTATATATCGACCGATACACATTACCTCAAATGGATAGTAACTTATTTCCATTAGCAAGCAGACAGTCCGTAACGAATTTCTTATATTCTTATTTTGAAACAGCCAGAGACCTGAGATTGATAAAAATAGTCGGTTTACGTTGTACTCTCGTAGAAAGTTCGCTAGCATGACTAATACTTGTAATGTTCTGATGTACTAAAACGTAATGATATAAAACGTAACGCTATCGTATTGACTGTTGAACAATACAAGTTATAGGATAAGAATATAATATTCTGCGATGTCAGAAATTGTTATCTCGTTTTTCTGATGATTGAAATACAT